AGTCGTCCTTTTTCCATCTAAGATGCCTGCTGCTCTGGCGTTTTCTTTAAGAGTCCTTGCTGGCTTCACTCTCATTTCTCTCTCCGTGTCAGAGTTTACGTCCACTTTATTTCTTTTGTCATTTGCGAGCACGTTTACATTATTGACTCTCATGCCTCGCGATACGTGATTTGTCTTCTTTGCGAGGGAGATAAGTAACATTCAGATGACTGAATCATGTCTCGTGAATTTTAATCGTCTTCTCAAAAGATTTCTATTTACAATTCACCTGTATCCGCATTTTCTTTGTACTTGTTCAGAACTTTTGGCGATAGTACAAGCCTAGATGGACATCTTTGTCGTATTCATATTCATATTTTGCATTTTACTTTTTCAAAGACTTTTATTTGAGGTTCGTTTGTTGCATCCTAGATATTAGTTTCTTGTGGAACAAGCACGGCATTTTGCATTCAATGAATTGTTTGGATTTCCGGCAGCTGCTGATGAATTTCATCAATTTAATATTTAACTTGGGACTGGAATTGCTTTTGCAGTTGGTCGTCGATCACATGAGCGAAGCAAAGTATGTATGTGCCAGAACTGAAAAACAGAAAATCATTTGCTCCCACGCGTGTACAGTGAATTTGTGGAGTAAGTCGACGATAAATCCTCCGGGCGAATGAAACAAGAATGAACGTGCGCGAGGCAACAGAAAATTTGAGTCGTGCACACTCGGACACAATGCGACTCGTTACCGTCGCAGCTCACGCTGACACTTTTCTCCCGTTGTCGTTCCGCTGTCCGTTGTCGTATGATGCGCTACCTTCACGATTCATTTTCTGCTCCCCCGACTCGTTCTATTTCATGATTATTTTTATGATCTTCATTATAGTAATAATGATATTACACGCAGGCCGTAAGCGTTAATTGCGAGAAAAGAGGAAGCAGCCGAATAATTGAAAAGCGTTGCGAAACTTGCTCAATTATCACGAGTGCCGTGGACGCGGACAAGAACAAGCAGAAGGAAAGAAAAGAAAATTGTATTTTTCCTCTGAGGGTAGCGAGAAAGCAGAGGAAAGGAGGTCAGTGCAGCGCGGCAGTGGAGAGCGGAGAAAAGAAACGCTCGCGCATTCGCGCATTCGCGCATTCGCGCATTTCTGGGCGCCTCATTAATGCGAACCGCATTATTTTTCATTTGCAGCAGCGGCGGCAGCGCAAATGAAAGGCTATAAGGGATGCGCTATACGTGACAATGAGAGCTTTTCTTCGCCCGGTTTTTCTCCTCGGCAAAATATTCCCTTATTCGTCGACTGGCCTCTTTTTCGCCGCGAGACGTTCGACACCCCTTTTCTCTACCCCAAGGCTGCGAGCTCTGCCAATGGCCCGAACGGTTATTTACGCGGGCTGATTTTCAATTTCGCGGGATACGAGGTTGCGTGTCAGGAACGAGCGGAGACGATAGACGGATGGAAAAGAAAATGATAAAAAGTCAAGGCAAGGCGATCTGGCGCATCGGAAGTCGGAAGGCGGGCGTATACGGCCGCGAGTTAACCGGCGATTTGGCGCGCGCACACATCGTAAAACCCACGCGCATTCGTTCATTGCTCAGTCTGCCCGTTTCTCTGGACACTCCTCTCCTCCGCGCACACTCGCGTACACGTACGAGCGAGCGATGAATGAGTCTAACGGGCATTGTTAACATCGCCGAGGGCGGCGCGCATTGTTTCCTCTCCGCAAGTGTCTCTCTTTCTTCCTTTCCGAGGTCGTGGATTACACGCGGGGGCTTCTTCGAGGAGCTTTATCTTTCTGCCTGGCTTACTCCTTTCGGGTTTATTCTCGTTTCTTCGGCCTCCCGCCCTCTTTCGGCAAGAATGTACGTGCACTATTTCGTTTGAATAACGGAGCGGAGCCCACGCTACGAGGAATTTTACGCTTCTCCATTAGCTTTGACCTACTGCCCACGGACCGAACTTGCGCATTTCTCTTTATTATTATTTCATTCGGCCTTATTGTCGGCGACCTAGCACGCGGAAAGTCTGGAGTGTCCCACTCGTATTGACTTTGCCGCCACTTTCAACGGAAGAAAGCTGGCAAATTTTAATATGCCGACAAGCCAGGACCGGTTCAGCAGTCAAACCAAATCTTTGCACAATTCACTTTTTTCATCTTGATGCAGATTTTGCGCGCGAGACGCGAAACGAGCTACCTCGTCTCTCAGAGATTTCTGGATAGCGACTTCATTCAAAGGGCAAACAGTGAGAATCGACTTTGTGCACGCCTTGTCTCTCTCTCTCTCTCTCTCTCTCTCTCTCTTCGCCGACATCCGCCCGCTGAGGCACAAAGATGCGTGGGCATTAATTCGTTATGCTCTTTGTTTCTCATTCCGTGTGAGTTCGACTGTAATTTATCTAGCCTGGTGCAGCCTCTGGATGTGGGTCAGTCTAGACCACTGACTGCGTCTTTATGTTTTACCTCTTTCGCCACCATATCCATTGTTTCGATACACGCTGTAATTTTCATCCGAAACAAATGCAAGTGATTCTTGCGCGCTATTTGCAACGACAAAAGCAAGAATGAAAAGTTTTCGGCAAAGAACTCTTGTGGAAATGATAGTGTGCCAGCTTTAATTAAATGTAGCTTCGATAGATCGACAAACTCTGCGCACTGGGGAGTTAATAAAATTTCTGAGACCGGGGATAGCAGCGGTGTGCTGAACGGAAGCTTGACGGTTGCGAATATATATTTGCGGTCTACAAGAAAGGAAAGTCCAATAAAAGGCCAAAATGCAGCTCGATCATAATCGTAAAATCGGTCACAAATCACACATTCGCGAGCGATCCATTATTGGTATATCCCCTATCGGCGCCAGCTGACCCCATCCGAAGTAAGAGAGAGAGAGAGAGAGAGCAACTCCGCGCACACGCAATTGTAGAAGGACGTCGCGAGCAGAGATTTTTGGGCGGCGGCATGTCGCGCCATCAGTTGCACGGAGAGAGGAGCATTGTTATTGACGCGTTCGCCTCATCAGTCATCTCGTGTCGCGCGGAGAGAGGCGAGGCGGGTGTTAACCTTCCTTTTTGCTGCGTTGTACGCGCGAAGCGAGGTGTCGGTTCCTTTCGAGGGGATTCCTTTCAGGCGAGCGTAGTGACGTTTGCGAGCTCGCTGCTGTTGTCGAGGGCATGTAAATCTTAGCAATGGTTTTATCGATTCCACAGCGAGACGCGACAAGTGATCGATGATCGGCATCGGCCGTCCCCACGAAATACTTTAATCCTACGAAAATTAATTTGCCAACTACGCACAGCCGCTGAATCGAGGGCTTACGAGGCATTCCGCGAGCGTTACGGGCTTCGGTGATGCCGAGCTCTTGAAAGGGTAACGAACGATCGTCAGATTTGATATTTACACGAGTAAAATGGACAGAGTTGTACGGTTTTGGCACAAGTGCTCCGTGAAGCGCAAACGATTGAATAAAGCGCTGGAGGTAAAATCAGGGAGTACAAGCATATTTGTCGACAAGAGTTGAGTGGACTTTGGTAAGCGGCAAATCGGGAGTAAGAGCGAGCGAGGGTAGAGTATAGAAATCGATGGTCGAACGTGCGCGGCGCGATCGAGCTCTCTGCCTTGGGAATTCAATTATACGAGAAGGGAGCGAGACAGGGATAGAAACTCTCCGGCTCACACATACGCCGCCGTGCCATACAAAACGTGTGCCGAACAATGGCGCGCATAGTCGTTCGATAATGAAGGGTGAATTGGCGCGACGCTCGCGGACCGTCGAATCTCTCGCTGTTTAAGGCAGCTGCTCGCGCCTATTTCGCTTTTCGACAAAACTGTGCTGATTAAGCGCCCCTTTCGGCTACGTCGCTGACGCGATAAAAATGTTGCGCTATCGCGCCGCCGCGCAGTACAATGCAACTTCGTTACCAAACTTTGCAGACACGCGAGTGAGAGAGGTAGCAGCTAGTCCAAGTTGCCGCGCCGCGAGTAATTAACATATTAAGTAAGCCGCCCATCTCTCGCCAACCGGACAAAGCCAAGGGCTCTAATGGCCGGCTCAGGCCAGTTTAGCATGTGAATGCCTCCCTCCACCAACTCGCAGATAGACTCAGAGCCAGGGATATTATTCGACAATGCAGTTGCCAGAGCGTCTTCGTCTTTCATCTTGTTTCTCGACGATTCGCCTCTTCTAAGCCTTTTCTTTTTCCTCGTCCGTTATATTCCATTTCAAACTCGCTGTCAATCGATCGACGCTCAACTCCTGACGCTTAAATACTGCGTGTATCAAACTGCTCTCGAAGCTGCATCAAATTTCAAGTTATGATTGTCTGCGGACGAATATAGATTTATGCCGATTTCCGTGCTCTTTAATGTTTGAATGCCAACTTGTTTATCGAATATCTAATGAGAACGTCGACAATGGAAATGGGATTCCTATTTTCATCTGCTTTTACGATTGCATTATATATCACTCATGTATTAATTCAATTCGAAATCACATCGACTTAATCAAGTTTATCATTCAGAATCCGCGAGTATGCCTTCAATATTTAATATTAATAACGGGAATGTCGCTCTTATTGGCAGGAAGCCAATCGAATTTAATCGAATCGTCTTAAAAATGCGCGTTGAGCCGGAAATTAAAATGAAATTAATGCCTCAAACAGACGCAATACGCGCGTGCATGTGAGCAGAGTAAAATTGAGTGTAGGTGCACTATTCTCTAGATCGCAGAGCGAAAACGACGACTAGGAGGCGATGACGACGACAACGGTGCAGAGTTGCCATTCGAGGCACGTAGATTGCTAACCTAACTTGTTTAGCGGTTTTAGTGGTATTTGATTAGTTGAGTGAATTTCCGAACTGTTTCATCGGCGTGCGAGAACTGCGTCGTCTTGCTCTCTCTCTCTCTCTCTCAGCATTCGCGCGCTGCACCCGCGCTTTTTAAGTCGTAATATAATATAACATCGCGGGGTGCGAATAATTATGCTCGGACTTTGATTTCTACAAATAAAACTTACCTTGAGAGTAGTTCATGACCTTTCATGTACCTCGGGCTTCACTCCTCGCCGGAGTTGCGGCGCCACGAGGATCGACTCTGCTTGGCCCTGCAACCAAATAATGCTCTTTGTACTTTTAAATCGCGCATCTGTCTTCGAAATACTTGAAAATACCGAGATCATTGCTGAACGCTTATCGCTGATAGCTCGCAGTTCGAATAAAGGTTGGGATATATGTGCTCTCAAACGCGAACGTCCAGATGGCCCGACAGAGAGAGGAGCTGACGTCAGCATCGAGTAGCTTATTAGTCCGCAGCGAATGGATGCGCTGTTTGCGCCGAGTATCGGCATAGTTGGCCAATAAGGCGCAGCGCGCAACTCGAAGGCGTGGTGCTGGCGACTGACGGGCACAGCTCTCACGTACTCCCTATTAGCCGAAAAGACGGTTAAAGACGTGCACGTGGGTCCGCTAGCTAATGATCCGCGCGACATAGTTACTACGCCCCGAGTTTTCGTTTTCCAAGTCTAAGTGCTTTCACGTGCTTCGATACGGGATGCGTCGATGCTGGTCATTCGCGCTTAACTATTCGATTTGAGTGCCAAACTTGCACTCACTCTTGCGGCTACCCCGTTCCCCCTTTAAATGGCTTTCCCAGCTATTTTATTCCTCCGTGAAAAAGACGTCGGGCATTGCTCAACTTTTGGCGCAGGCGCGACGATTCTTTCACTGCTATCTCGACTCTAATGCGAAAACTTGTTCCTCCGCGAAAGAGAGCTGCATTAAGCGAGACTTGTTGAGGCGTGCATTAAGCGAACGATGCGTTTGTACTTTAAAAAAGTTGCCGTTGCAGCGTGCGCGCGCGTATGTATATATGCGCATATACATACGCGTTATTTACATGTTTGTCCACGCTTCGCATTGAAAGGGGATTTTTGCCGCGGAAAGAGCGGTCGAGCCGCCGAGCAGGACAATGAAATTTAATTTATCGAGGCAGTAAACGGAAGTCGATGTTTGGGCTTTCGGCGGTGCTTCGGCAAGCTTTCCCGGCTAATGCACAACTGTTTACGCCGTCGCTTCTTTTATTTTGTTTCTTTTACGAGAGTTTTCGAATCATCTCCTTGGCTAGGAGGCGAACATTTAAAATTCCACCCGAGCCCATTTGTCCAGCGCGGGTATATTGTCCGCTGGGATGCTGTCGCTAGGCAATAGCTCTGGAATCAGTGAAATCAGCGCTATCGCAGAAATCGAGGAGGCAGCAGTGCACCAAGTGGAGCACGCGTCGTAAGTAAGACGATGTGAAAATTGCATCGGAGCATATAACTCGCACAAAGGTTTACTCGCCGACTTCTGTCTTATTATTTTCAAGAGGCAAATAAACGGCCTCGAGGGCCGAGCCGCGAGCCGAGCTGCGAGCATAACTGGCGCGGCCGTAAAACCAAGACTCGTCTATATCCCTTTCCTTATCCCCTCGCGCTCGCGCGGTCCTTGGTAATTTGTAATTTAATTTCGCGCCAGCCAACGGCCTCGAGAAGCCAGCAGACGCAGCCCCCTTTCTCGGGCACTTAACTATATACAGCGCGCTCTCGCTCATATTTGCAAAAAGCATCGCAAAGCCAAATAAGGCGACGAGGTGAAGACGGCACACGGCGCTCGATTGTCCTTGTAGGGAACGAATAATTGTCGGTGTTTTTTTCGCTTTCGCGAGTGCGCGCCACGCGAGCCAACTCCGGCTATTAATAAATCGCGTTGAGCGACGAATGCCGGATCAGCGAGCAGAGCGCTCTTCGTATGCATCCTACGCTAATTACCCGCGCTCGCAGGAAATGCCAACATGCGAGCATAACGCTCAGCTTCTCGCCATTAAATACGTGAATTAGCCACAAGAAGCACGCGCGCCTTCCATACACTTTCGCTCCATGAATCATTCGCCTGGCGAGCAAAACAACCCTCGGCCGATGAAGGAGTGCCACGGGGGGCTCCTCTCCTTGCGTAAAAACCAACTTTACGAGTTGCCGAGCTCACAAAAATCAATCGATATCGCGCTCCACCTCGGACGACTCCGAGGAGACTCTGCTATGACGAGAGTTTGTCGGTAAGTTATTGCCGACCGGCCGTTTATTGCGTTCCAAGATCCAAGATTCGGACGGCGACGAGGAGAAAACAAATAATTGGAAAATTCGAGGAATCCGCGAGGAAAGAGTAAGTGGATTTTTTTCGCTCGTCGAGCTATGCCGCTGCTCCGCTCGCTTTGTCAGCGATGCTAGAATATCGCGCAAAGACGCCGAAGGAGAAGACCGGAGAGTAAATTAAAAGCCCGAGCGCGTCCATTAATCTCGAGACGATAAAACGATTAGCGATCGAGAGCGAACGAAATAATGGGCAAATAGCTCTGAAAATGGAAAAAAGTGGGCGAGCTGTAGCGGCGAGGTGAGGCTCCCGAGGGGAAGTAGGTAAGAAAGTGCCCATGAATTTTATAGATGTGCCGCGAGAGTGTAAAGTGACCGGTAATAAGCGGAAGAAGGAAGCTGCAGCGGCGGAATCCGCGCTGCGTACGTCTGCTTTTACGATGGAAAGCTTGCGGAGAGTTGAATTGGCACGCGTCGACGCCGTGTTGTCCTGCTGGCACGTAAATCTAACGATCGCGATTTTCATCGCTTGTCTCTGAAGCACGACTCTGACCGCGCTCGATCGCGGTTTTCTTGGTATCGATGCAATAAAGCCTGTGCTCGCAGTCCGCCCGCGCTCTCGAGAAGTGCTGTCGATATTGCTCCTCGGCTTCCTATGCAAGTTATACGCCCTTTCAAGTTCACCTCAACATCGATTCTAGATACATCTTTAACAGGATTCTATTTAGCATCGCCTTTAATTGCACGATCGTGCTAAATATTCAAATTACCGTGCGCTATTCGCGGTATTTCACGCTATTCGTGACATTGACTATTCTAATTCTGTAAGTAGACGAGAAGATTTAATACAACTTTCCACCTGGTATCATCTTATTTTTAGCAACCTCGTCGTACTTTAATCTATTTCATTCTCTCGTTATAAATCTAACCCTGGACTTTGCTCTTTCACTGGTCGATCAGAGGAAGGTGATCGGCAGCTACGGATGGGAAACGACACTGCAACGATGGAATTTTCGCGGAGTTGGGCAAACATTTCATTGTTAATCGTGTTGATTATTCAAATAACGCGGCGATTCTCTTCCTTGCTCAAAGTAAGGTTGACATTGATCAGCACAAATGTACATCCAGACAATTGTCAGTAGGGATTCGCAACAACGGCAGCAGTAACTTAGGTAGGCACGATAAATCATGAGCCGTTTCGGAGGCGCACGGCAATCAGAGCAGATCGCCAATTACTTGCTGCACCCGGTGCTCGCGAGTCAAATAAAAAATGGCTAGCGAGAGCACTCCATCCATCGTCATTACCAAATTACCTACGTGGACGATGAAATAATTTACGGAGTGGACGACAGCGAGAGCAAAGCGAGCCTACAATTACCCGTTGGTTGCAACAGCAGCAGCAACATCCGTACTCGAGTTGTATTTCGATCGTGTCGGGCACCGTATAATCGTACGTGACAACCGATTATTATACTAGCTCTGTCGCGCGATGCTCGTGAGATGGATGGCACGCGTACTCCAGCTTAAAACGTCTCCGAGGACGCTTACGTGTGACGCCTTTCTTTTAATCTTATTTACGATGTTTGCAAATGACTTTTCTTTCTCAAAGCTCTGTGCTATAATTGTCTTGAGTTATGCTCTGTCGCTTTCGTGACTGACTTCATTTACTGGCTTAGCGCCCAGATACGAAAAAAACATGTACGGCCAAGCTCGTTTTACGTTCAGCTATGCTTTAGCCAAGTAAAGCTTTCCAATTTGCATTTGCTATACGTTTAAAAATAATTTATCTGGCTATATCAAACCTTGTTCAATTGTTATTTTGTAATTGTCGGTTGATGCGGCATCGTTTACAGCGATTACGATAGCTATGCCGACATAGTTGCTGCTGAGATAGTTTTCTCGAACTGCGTGGCTTTTGAAAGTGCAATAAAAGATGCGAGGAACCGGAGCAAATGATGGAATCAGGAAGAAATAAAATTCGAACGGTAAAGAGGGTAACGATTGTCGAAGAGAAAATGAATGCTATTTGGCGTTTGAAGAACCGAAACGGTATCTGGCTACTGAATTACGAGAAGGATGACGCAACCGACCAACTGGCCATATTTTCTTATCAAATAAACAGAAATAGTTGTTTCCTGGTGGAATAACTGTATTTGAAATTGTTCAGTGGCAGCACGGGATGCGCAAGGGAAAGAAGATACTTATCGCGAACAGTTCGAATCGGAAGCGCGCTCAAAGCGACGAGGAGACTGTGCGGCGCTCAAAGGATCGTCGCGGAAGAAACGGAAGAAACGGAAGAATCGGAAGAAACGGAAGAAACACAGAGCGCATGATAGTGCGGGCGGGTGCGCGAACAGTTTGCGATTTAACGAGGTAACTCGATACTGCTCTCTGGGCGTGCGCTAAGGGTTACACTTACTTCTCGCGCCAGCCTGCCTGCCCGGCTTATTTGCTTTGCTTTTGCACGGTCGAACGAGATTGGCAAAGTTTGCCCCTCTCGCGCTCGCTCTTTCGAATAAATTCGCAAAGAAAGCTGCATGCGAGCTCCACTTGATATTCATCCGCAAGCCGTGTGGCCTCGATCATTTCTCTCTTCGCGCGGCTCGCTTAATTCTAGTCGTGGCGAACATCAAAGTTTGGCGCCAGCCAGCGAGAGACCGAGACGAAGAAGCCGGCAGGACTGGCGTATCGATCGCGCGCGCGCCCGATTTCGAATTGGACGTCCGCGGAATGGAGAATTAGTATTCCATGCGGGCGAGGCGTTTCTTCGCTTCGGCACTTGCCGCCGTGAGTCGCGCGAACGCGCCTTGCAAAAGAGTCGAATTTATAAAGCCAGCTAGCCCAGCGAAATTAAGGATCTGTAAATCTGCGATCTCGAATTAGTATTCCGGCGAACGCCTCTTCCTCGTTCTCCGTTGCTTTTTGCCCATGCTGCCGCCCATGTCTTTGCCAGACAAATGGCGAGAAATTTGTTTGTTTCG